TAAGAACTTTCTTGCATTTCTATGCAACCTGGAAATTAGCCCCACCTGACAGTCTACTATATAAATGTCTAATAATTTGTCAGCATCCCTCATCTCATAAAACTTCAAGAATTCAAGAGAAAGCACCATCACTTGCAAAACATCCTACAATTTTGTTCCTCTGAATGTCTCACTAGTATAGAATGAAATCTGTGTGTGATGTAATTCCCCCTCCAAGCCAGGTGCATACAGTACTAACACGGTTCTGTGTCTTATAATAAAATTGCAACAATAAAAGATCCTGAGATTTTTAATCTGAGATTTATACAGGCATTTATGCCCACAAGAAAAGCACAAACTGTGTAAGTATAACATAGAACCGTAGAAACTGGTTTGGGTGGAAGAGACCTTTAAGATCATCAAGTCCAACTGCAGATATATACAGATCTGCTGGATATTGGTGAAGCTGTGAAAATGAGCCAGACCAGTACCAGCCAACAGGGAGGCACTGGGCCAGGGTCACTGTACATCAAAGCTGACAAGATCTGCATCATCCTGTTGTTCTGTAAGTGGACTTAACCATGAGAGGAAACAAAGAGATGAAGTTAAGTGAGGAGATTCTTGCTTGAATTTAGCATAAGTCCAAAGAAAAAGTCACCATCCTTGACAAATAGTTATCAGACAAGCTCAGCTCTGGTCATCAGAAATGCTCACCATAAGAATTTTTTATGTGACAAGCTACTTCTGAGGAAGGTCACTTGTTTTCTTTATTTGTTGCCTGGAGACACCTTGGCTTTCTTTGAACTCAAAGAATCTGCTGGACTCTGGTTGTGAACAGCACACTCTAAAAAAAAATTAATGTCTCATTAATGGAAAGCTTATGCTTTCTTGGTTTTTTTAAGCAAAAAGAAAATAAATCCCATGGAGGATCTGAGAGAGTCAGAACACTTGCGCTGAACTGATGTCAAGAGTTCATGGATACCCACATCAGCAGAGTTCTCCCAGGTCTGAACCCAATGCATACATCCTGGTCTGTATTAGATCTCTTTAGAATTATTGATACTCCTTCTTTTGGTGTGGGTGGGTTGTTTTTTTTGGGGGGGTGTGTTCTTTAGGGTTTTTTGTTGGTTTTTTTTTTTTTTTTTTTTTTCTTTCCTGTGCGTCTGCTTGTCTTTCTGCAAGGGGTGGTAGAACTATTCATACCTGGTTTTACTGTTCTACTGACTGATACAACAGGTTAAAGGCTGTTATGGTGCCCTTGGAGAGGATGTCTGTCTGTTTGTGCTACCCTGTCAGCTGCATTTATCCATGTGTTAGAGAGAAAGGGTGTTGTGGTTTGAGGCTTGGAATGGGGTCGTGACCTTCCAGCAACTGGGAGGACCCCGGGTGGGGGTGAAACTATTGTATTCCCTCCCCTTCCCACACACACTCTGATAAGAGGCAGGGAGTGGTTTCTTGTTTCACTCCGGCCTTGGAGCTCAGAGAGGAAAGTTCTCCTTTCACTCCGTGGGACCCTGGAACCATTTCTGAGGGTTTTGTATATTTTATCTTTTGTATTATTCCCCTGATCTTTATATATATTATTTTCCTTACCTCCCTTTTTCATTTTCTGTTCCTTGTTGAACAATATACTTCATTTTTTTTAAAAAGTGTCTCTCTCTCTCTCTCTCTCTCAAGGGGGTGGGGAAGAGTCGAGTACATAGTTCTGTTCCGTGTGGGTCCTGCCCTGAACCCCTTTTTACACGGAACCAGGACAAAGGGAAATTATGATTTCCATAGGAGAATGGAAGTATAAAACACCCAAAGTAGAATTCCCTGAAGAATGAATTAACTTTTTTGTACCAAAATACCACTTTTGATGAAAACCTCTCCACTTCTCAGGCAATCCATTTCCAATAATTTATTTACATTGTTCATTAAAAGCAGAGCCCTTTCTGTAAGAAACAGAATCTAGACAAAAAATAAATGTTCTGTCAAAAATAATCTTCATGTGGAAAAACTTCTGTTCTATTTATACAGCCACAGCTATATAATATCTATATAAATAGAACTGTTCAGATGTGGGCAATTGCATACTCCCACCCTCTTTTTCTTGTCTCATATTATCTGTTAACTCCATTTATGAAAAGAAAAACACAAAATTCAAGATCGAACATAACATCACTGCACCAATTTCTTGGAGCACTGACAATTGAGTATTCCAAGGGCTGATTTATATGGGCCCTCTGAACCTTGGCTTATGTATTTCAGAACATGGTGAATAAACATGTATATGTGTTTAAAATCCACAGCATTTTAACATTTACTTAACAGGGTTCCAAGGACGCCTGGGAGAAGTTTCCAACTGTCTAGTTGATTCAGTAAGCTCTATTGCTTAGACACATAAAGCAAATACTTAGCAAATGTTTTAGGAATTTGTGACTGAGCATTGTCTGCTTGTATAGCTCAAAAGCCAGGCAGCTTGTCTTTGCTTGAATATTAACTTCATGCCAGTTACAAAATGATGAGGATAACAATTTTTTTCACTGGTTAAAAAAATTACTACCACAACATAATGTTAAACAGTCAATTGAAAATGTATATCTTGGTCAAAGACTTGAGATGAAATCTGATGAACTCGGAGAGAGGGACTACTCGATAGGAACTGAGAAACAAGAGGAACTGGAATTAGAGCACACTGAAGGGATGACATCCTTCGTTGGCTTGTCGGTGGCAATATGACCTGAGAGCCCACGTAAGCCCACTCTCATTGTCACCATGCCGTGACATCAGCCTTCTGCAGGTGGTGGGAGGGCAGGGCAAAGCAGCCACGGCAAGGCATGGATCAGGTTCTGTGCTCTACAGAAGAATTCCCTTCTTTTTTCTGTCCATAGTTGGGATTTAGGTGGGAGGGTTCAAAATACAACAGAAAATGATGGGAATAAATTTTCAATTTTTTAAAAAAAACAGCTCTACTTTATACAGATTTTTACAGTAATGTGCCACATAGGGAATGGTTTTATGCATCAGCGTGACTAGGTCTGTCCATCTCACACACCCATGTAACATCTCAGCAGCACTTTCATTTTGTTTTCTAAATTATCATAAAGGAAAGAAATGCAAAACCATTCCATGCAAACTTTGGTAGATGCAAATGCATCAGACTGAAAAGTTAAGAAGGGAGAAAATATTGAAAGTAGAACCATTGAGCGACTGTGAGGAACAGTCCATTCATGCAGCCTTTCCTAGTTATACATTTCCTTTAGGAAATCTTGATTCCAAAGACTTTGATATAATTTGATCTCCAATTACTAATATTGCATAATATTGGAACTTACTGCAGCATCTAATTAATCATGATGACCTTGAGCCTGTTTATTTGAAAGTTAGACCTTTCCGAACTATTCCCCAGTGGAAAATCAACTGATCTTTCACTGGCATTTAATTGGTGGCAACCCTGTTTAATCCTAGCTAAATCCCTGTACATTGCTTTTCAAAATAGCACATTTCTCCCATCTTGCTTTTGTCTTACAAGATGGGAAAGTCTTCAAGGAAAGTTCCAGTTTCTTATGAATACAAAGATTTCCTAGAAAAATAATACTTGGAAACCCGCTCGGGTCATTAGGTGCTTTACAGATAATAAAGTTAATAACAATTAGATAAAAACTGTGTCTACTGTCTAAAAGAAGAGCAAACCCATCATTCAAACCAATTAAGAGGAGCCAGAGACATGGTCAATGTATCCACACCAACAGAGCTGCCAAACCCCCTCGAGCTGTACTGCAGCTGTACCACACCACGCCTGTTGGCAGCACACACTGATCAATGTGACAGTAGGAATCCTACTGTCCTAGTGAAGCTCTTCTTCAGTCTGTTAATTTATATTATTATGATGGTCTCTGTAGAAAGCTGAGAATGTGCCAGAGAGTATAAATTTGATAGATAATTAGTTTATATTTCTTTAAATGTATGGTTTGTAAATTATTTCTATTATACATTCGTTATTTATTAACCATGGGTTGTCTGAGCAGGGCTTCATCATTACCTACATTGGATCCTCCCTGATAGTAGCACACCCAAACAAAGCAATGAAAACATATTTTTCATGCTTATGGCAGTGCTGCTTGTCTGCCAAGACCCAGAATGGGACTGACCTAGCCTGGTGCTGAGTTTTGAGGTGGAATCCTTCAGCAGGCACAAAACAGCACTTCACCTGCAAGAAGCAGACACTCTGCTCCATCTCTGAGAAATGTCAAGGTATTGTAAGGAGTCACAAAGTGAAGAACACATATAGTGAGAAGAGCGACACGTTTGCCATCAAAATTTCATCTGAAAACAATGATGAATATGAATAGGAAGCATAAAGTCCTGGGTAAACAGGGAACATGTTGTATTTCATCTGAAAAGAGGCTTCCTTGATACTCTTTGGACAAAGGTACTAAGCACAGAGAAGACTATGCATAAGGGGTTCACTCTCAACTCTAAAGCATTTTATTTCTTATGCCTCCTCTACACAAGTCTCTGCTTGGCAATGAGTTGAAGAAACAGCAGCGAGGAGGCACTTGGAAAGCTGGCAGAGACAATGGCAGGGGCCAGCTGGCAGCAGACCTTGCTTCACATGGAGTTCAAGCTTGGCTGTTCATATTCCACAAGTCTAGTTACCAAAACCCTTAAACAGCCACATCTCAGCTGTCCCTGTCTTGAAAATTAATCATAAAAGCCAGGGCCATCTGTACAACGTCCTCTAGCGCTTTTCCTGCCTAGTACTTCAAGAAATCATGCCAAAAGGGTGAGAATAAATTAAAGAGAATTCCCACCTATAATAGATGCGTTTCACTTCATGCTCCATTTCAGTACCCAAAAGTTTTTAAAAATACAACCAACAAGTATTAAAACATCATCACAGAAAGCAAGATGTGGAGTAAATCTGAACTGGGCAAAAATGCCCAGTGCCAATCCCTTAGTGATGTGGTGTGAGGATGCAAATGATATATTTATGCTTCATTTTGAACACATAGATTTACTCTTTTGCTTAATCTCACCTTCAGAGGCACCACTTGCATCAGAATGGCGAAGTTGGTGAGATGGTTACAAAGACACACTGAGTAGTTGAGGTCCCCACTCTCACGCACACAACCTTCATTAGACCAAACACCAGTTCCATTGCTGCAAAGCACACAAAAATGGAACATCATCGCTGTCAAAATGCATTTTATCAGGGTAATCTCACATGCAGTGTACTATACAGGAGATAAAAGCTGTTTGAAAGCCACCTCAGGGAGGAACATCCACAAACACTGCCAGTGTCTTCTCAATTCCATCATGAATATAGTTAAAGAGAATATTGACCGGAATGAGTCCCAGATCAGATGCCTACATGAATGTCTCTAAGTATTTCTTCCCAGTTTTATAACCAATGGATGATATCTACATTTTTTCTTTACATTGTGCAATCCATTTATAGCATTTCACCACTCCTCTGAGCATGATTTCTAGTGACCCCTCCATGTCAACTGGTTTTTGACCCTTCATTCTCAGAGGAAGCAAGCGCAGCTCCTGCTCCACTGAGGATATAGGTGGGCTGGCTGTGTGGCCTGGCACCCCTGCTCACCCACCCAAACTGACTGCTTATTAACCATTTATTACTTTTGATATCATTCTGGGTCCTGAAGAGAGACTGAGTGGTCCATATTTTTCTTGGGGCTTATTTTAAAGATAGGCATTAACTCACCCTCCCTCTGTCCTTTGGGACCTCCTTGACTTTTCAAAGACTGTTGCAGGTCAAAAACCAATTGCTTATTCTTTAACTACCATACACTAGGGAATAAAGACCATCTTGACACAAATAAAGCTCATTTGGAAGGACAGATTTCATATTTCAGTTTCTATCCTAAGGCAAAGCCCCAAGGGCCCAAGCCTCAATGGAAAACAGCACAGGAACAATGCTCCAGCCATATTAATTTGCTTCAGTAAAATCTGTTTCTAATTTATGGTAATTTGTGAGTAACCATAACAACGAGTAACTGCTGACAGCTGGGACAGTTCAATGTACTTAAAACAAAACTTCAATAAAACAATTACAGTGACCTTCTGATGTGTATGCCGGATAGGAGGGGTCACAGCTTTGTGGGCCATTGCTACATCCATTAGGCTTATACCATTACAGCTCAAAAACTGTAAATCCCCATGAAATTCAAAATTCACTATTTGTGTTCTTTCTCAATCAATTCAGTAAGAGCAGCATGTTTGAAAATCAAAACCAAATGAAATATATTCAGAGCTAAAAAAAAAAAAAATAGCTACTGTTTTTCCATAGTTCCTATTTTCTGACTGAAATTTAAGGTGGAATTTGTTTCCCTTTTATTATAATTTGCATTCAGGGGCATAATATTTCTCCATTCTATGCATTGGCCAAAATTCACAGCTCTGAAATACTAATCTCACATGATGTTGCGACATAGGCACAGATCCAGTGAAAACAAAGGCTCTGCTGGAGGCTTGCCATCATAAAACATCCAAGTGCCTGCCCAAGTGTACATATTCATAAACCAAGATAAGCACGATTTGTGTCAGTCTACAGTTCTGATTCCAAAATTTTTCCATCTCTCAATTACCTACTTAACAGAGGGTCTGTGAATAACAAGTCTCTTATCTATTGTAAGAAGCCAGTATCAGATTGTGGCGTTTTTGAACTACTGGATCCATTTCTTTAACTATTTCCATGAATGAAAGGGAACGAGAAGAATATAGGTAATGTATAGCATCACAAATTAAGCTTAGTTTAATTATATAAAGCTAAAGAATTTGAAATTACGTAACATACCTGTAGTCCAGAAATGCACAGTAAAGATGAACTCTGTTACTCTTATTCAGAGCTTGGCTGTATTGTCTGGGCGTCTGCAAGAAAGAAAATACAAGCCCTGAAGGAATGGTTAAAAAGGACTAAATTCCACTATTCAACTAAAAATTCTCATTGCTATAATAACTTCAACAGACATATTTTAGATTAACACACCATGACTGAAAGCAAATTTTGTCAGTTCTTGTAGCTTTAACACAAACTCGAAACATGCAAATGCTGGTATTCAGCCTTAATTTTACACACTGGGATTAAAATCATGTCACTTTGAGTGAGAAATCTGTGTCCCATTTAACTAAATAGCAAACCAGAGTTATTTATTGGCTATAAGCACTAATATATGTGTTAATTTTTGCAAGATTATGGTGTTATTCTTCAGCATATATTTGGCTTTGTTGGGTTTTGTTCTCATTGGGTAATAAAAATCTCACATTTTAAGATTAATTATGTTGAAATATGTGCATTACAGTGGCCAACTCACAGACCTTTTCTTTCTACAATAGTGATTGTTTTAAAACATACAATCAAACTGAAAGAGCAATGCCATAATTCAAGATTATATTTTAACACATCTTAGCATTATAATGACATAATTTCTATCTTCCCTAAACAGCTTTAGCAACTAACTCAGCCTCCTCCATTCAGGGAGCTTTGAGACCCCATTCTCAACTCTGTTACACCAGTTTCATGACAAAATAATTCAAATTATATTGGAGTGAAGCAATAGTTTGTTATAGACAAAATATGCAAACTAGAGGATCTCCAGGATCTGTTCTACCCTTTCTAATTCAGATATCCCTGAAGTCCACATTGTGTTCAACTCTAAGGCAATTTTTTAATCACACGAGTCTTCAACATAAACAAATCACTGGTGAATTAACAGTCCTTGGATTATTGCAACAGAATTCTGCTGTCAAGCCAGAAGATAACCAAGTATTGCTAACCTTGTTTTAGAGAAAGAAGGAAAAAAAATCCCCACTGCCTCAGCATGCTGAAACTCAACCAAGTGCAAGAATTCCCTGATGCAATTTGCCTTCCCCTCTCCCACAAGTCCAAAACCAAGTGTCAGGCACGAGGTAGCACAGTTCCCTCCTTACTGGTGATAATTAAGCACTTCTGCCTAAGCTGGGACATTCACACATTCGTACTGGATTTCCACACACTTCAAGTAGTTATGCAGTAGATAAGGCCATTTACTTCTTAACTCACATCTCTGGAAAACATAAATGGAATTTTGTTATCTGCTTGAGCAACATCCCTGGACAAGATTTATCATTTCTTGCCTGAGCGTGTTTTCCCTGAGCCTTCATCACAGCAAGAGCTGAGGTTGCAGGGCAGGTACCCGCAGAAGCAGAAGGATTGCCACCTACTGCCAAGAGTCTCAACTTTCCCCTTTGACATCCTGTAGCCCCTTCCACCAGGGGAGCAAAGCAACAGTAAAACTTCACTCTCTCATGAGTATGTCACACTGGGAAGTGGTAATGGGATGAGATTCACATCCCTCATCACCAGGAAATACCCCACTGACATAACCCCCAATCTGCTCATGCCACTTTCTTTCCAGCTATGGTGAGACAGATGTAGTGTGACATTAACCAATACAAAGGAGTCCTTGCTCCTCTGTGAAAGCCCTTCTTCATCACTGGCTGCACTGTGAAAGCCCCGTGCAAGACTTCAGGATCAAACTGGTATGTTCCCTGCTGGATCCATCAACTCTGAACTTCTGCTTAGAAAGTGCCCCCCCACAAGCCTCACCTTTAAGAGCTGGGATCCTGCACACCTTCCAAATCACAAACCACCTATGAAATATGAAGTGTCTTTTAGAAACTGCTTCCTTCCCTTAACTTGTCCTCTTGCTGCTTAGAGTATCCTTGAAGACCACTAGATCAGAAACTGCAGAAGACTAATCATCCATAACCTGTGGCTGGAAAACTGCCTTCTGCAACTTCAGTTTATTTAGAGTTTTGCTGGCAAAGTTCATACTGTTTTACCAGCAGCAAGGACATGGAGCATAATGCCCATTACCCTGTATAATGTTATGTCCATCATGTCTGTAGCTTTTCCTGAAGTAAGCAACTGAAAGAATCTACAGTCAGCTTGTATTACAAATCACCTCTATGACAAACAAACAGTGGCTGAAAAAAAAAAAAAAAAAAAAGAGAAAAGGAGAGATCTGCTGTAATAAGAGATAAGACAGTACAAGAACTGTCATTTCTGGTTTGTAATAAACCTGTAGATAAATATTGATTGTTAATTCACTAAATGGAAAGGGCACCACAGGGTCAGGTTGGAGGAATACATAACACGGCAGTTGTGTATCTTTTTACATAAATAAATCCCAGATGTATGTTTTAACCTCAATTAAGTATCTCTGGCAATGGAGAAATTATTGTTTTCCTCTCTCTAACTCTATACACAGATGTCACTCACTACACAAAGAACTACACCAAGTGAGGCTACATGGTCTCTGAGCTGTCCAGAAGTGTGTGCAAACCCACATGGAAAAAAAAGAATAAATAAATAATGTGTATACAAAGAAAGGTGCATACAAATTTGCCTGTTTACTTCTTTTAAAGAATGTGTCCCATGTTATAACACACATGACATAGACCTCAGAAGGCTTTTCAGAGCCACTTGTAACTGCATAGAACTCATTTACTCAGACCTTCTTGAAGTTCTGCAACAAAATCATCATTAAAATAGAAAGCTCCACAACATATATGAAACTGGGTACAATGAGGAATAAAACCCTGATCTTCAAAAGCTCCACTTCAAAGTACTCTCTAATCTATGAAAATGAACTGACTTTACCTCAATATTGCTTTTCTTAAGTTAAACTGTGTGTGACAACTTATATGTGACTGGGATCTTGTAGCACTGAGAATATTGATTTAATGACACTGATAACAAAAAGCTTAATATACAAGTAGGCTTTTACACTAAAAGATTAAGTCACTTGTGTGTTTATAAAAGCCTGTGAAAGGATAATTTATGCAGCTTTCAGTAGTGTGGAGAAGGAAAGTACGAGCATGCTAAGTGATCCAGGGGGTGTGCATCAGATCTCCCTAATCGAGGTCCTTTGTGTAAGCCCTTCTGTGTGAAGAGGGGTACATGCAGCAGCTTCAAAAAAAAAAATTACATTAAAAGAGGAAAGTAACCTCTTGAAACAGTGTAAACTCTATGTCCATGTGATGGAGCAGGTATCCTGAGGAAGGACTGTCTCTATTTATGTCATGGCTCTTCAGCATCCTCGCACTAACCGCTGACTCTCAGCAAACTAGTCAGACTTAAAAGCAAACCACAGAAACCCATTGTGTGTTTTGGGAGCATAGAAAGGATATGCATGGATGTGTGAGGGGGATATGGTTCTTACACCGCTGGGAACTAGGCACAGGGCCATGGTTAGTGGGTGAAGAGGCCAAAAAAGGAGGGGGGGTGGAGCTGAAAGGACTGCTGGAAACCTTCAGGAAAACCTAGTTGCAGGAAATGTCATGAACACAATTGCAGAAGAAAAACAGTCATCCAGCTGCTGCTGGGAAGGCTTGCCAAGGAAGGGAAGCCAAGAAGAGGGTGTGGTGAACCTTTTTTGAGATTAGTTCATTTTTCCTCTCCTCCCCTAATTTAAAAAGCAAATATTTAGCTACATAGTGGTGGCCACCAAGGGAGGAGGGTGTGCACCTTTAATTTAATATGTATTTCTTTCCAATGGAAAAAAGGACAAATCTGTGGGTCAGATCTGCCACTGATCCAATGTGTTGGAGCTTGGACTTCTTCTTCCCAAAGTTCAAGTTCAATTTGTAGCTCACTTGTCTCTGTTTACAAAATACAGCATTTTGTCTAACTCACAGGTTTTGAAGCCGTATCTTCTCAACCTCCAAGAATACCATGGATTATTTGGAAGGTGGCAAGAGAAGGCCCTAAAACAAACAACCCTCTTGTCACTATGCTTGTGTCTTTTATGCACTTCAGAGCCCCACTGAAAGGTTCTTACAGGTGTATGAATCAAAAGGAACTTTTGATTCTGGTTTGTGTAGTAAATTAGAGACTAAAATGAAGCTTCTAATTTAAGGATTTCCTGTCCTTACAATGACAACCTGACTGTTAGCATGACCTAACCAGACCAGATGGTTTATTAACTTTCCATTACACCTCATATCATCTATTTCTCCTAATCACCTAGAAAATTAAAAATTTAAGGTACACTCATCTACTTATTTCCCTGGAAAAAGACAGAGAGACAGAAAGAGAAAGAAAGAATTATCTGTTTCTGTAGTGGCTATACTGGCTGGTTTTTTCCAAGCTGTGAGAAAAGAGCATTGCAAAAGACTTCGGACATAGGTCACCCAACAATTTTAATTTAGAGCCTGACTGATTCACTCTAAGATGTAACTAGCATTTGTAATGAAAAAAAATGTTACAAATTGTGCAAAAATGAATTTAGCTTATGAATAGGGAATTATAGTTTGTTATGCATAAAAGCCAGACCTTCAGTTGTCTCATTGTTTTCAACAGAGCTATGCCAACACACACTGAAGCAACAAGCAGAACACTGTGGGCTTCCAGGGTCAACATGAAAGCTCACTGAATGTATTTCTTAATGGCACAAACATACAGTTTAAAAAACAAAATAAATCCCATGATACCATAAAGAGTGTAAATCTCTGACAGACAACAATATAATGGAAAAAAAAAACCAAAGAAATATCGGCAACTATGCAGACATCTGAAATTGGAAAGTATGAATATGGATTGGATTTGATCCTTCCTTTGCCTAAGGTTAAAAATGGTCAACGTATCAATTTCCTGTGAAAATATTGTTAATCAAATGCTTCCCCAGTTCTCAGAGTTCTCCATTTAACAGCTGCTGTATTGGGCAAGCAGTGTGAGAACAAAAAAAAGTAATGAAAAAGCCCATGAGCAACAGGCTGAAAAATATCTTGGCTGTTCTACTAGCTAGAATTTTTATAAAGACAAAAAGAAAACGAGGAGGGAATGGATGAGGAAATTGTCCAGGTCCTTTTTTTTTTTTTTTAATTAC